TCAGGGTTGACTCAGCCTTCCATCCTTCCGAGGTGGGTAAAATGAGGACCCAGATTGTTGGGGGCAATATGCTGACTCTCTGTAAACCGCTTAGAGAGGGCTGAAAGCCCTATGAAGCGGTATATAAGTCTACTGCTATTGCTATTGCCACAACACCAGGATTTGCATGGAGTAAGCACAGCTGTAAGTGACATCCTAAAACTCTCTCAGGCAAATGGCATCTGGGATTTCTACGGTCCGAAGGGTAGGAAGACCCACAATGGTTACAGAGACCTGCACTGATCTTCTCAAAGGAAAAAGGACTGCTCTTTCATCCCGCTCCTCCCTCGGCCAACCTGCAAAAGCAAAATTTCAATTTAAGCATTCCACAAGAGACAATAAAAATCCCCCGTGCTGTTCCATGGGCAGCTTCCAGCCCTCGGTTATCTGATCGCCTTGGAAGGCCGGTTGTAAGTTGCAGGACAATCCAGCCGTGATGATAAACCCACCTATTAATCCCTTTGATTGAATTCCATTAGGCTCCGGACCAGATGGAAGTTTAGGCCAGCCGAGCAAGCCGCTTGCAATAAAACATAATTTCGGCTAATCTTCACTTTAGGAATGTCTCGGGCTCAAAGTAGGCCGTCTGCTAATGCCGGCAGAAGTAATTGCGTGCCGCCTACAACGGGATAGTTTTTTCAATCTCCGCTTTGTAAGAGTTGCGTCTTTCGGCAGGTGTCCTTTGAGCTGACAATCTGCTCCTTTGTTCCCAGCAAGAGAGACATGTCAATAGCACGGATAATGAAACCAGAGGCCAGAGTGGGGAGGGAGGCATTTTAATGAATGGGGCAGATCTGGGCTGGAATCTGTTGATTCCCCCCAAGACAAGAGGTGACGCGAAATCCACAAAGAAAGCTCAAAAGGATCCCATCAGTGGATTTGTTAAGCAAAGCTCGAGGGATTTGCCTCTCTCTGCCTCCTTCAGGAGTGATGTTTGACAATTGTAGGAAAAGTAACAAGGGAAGTGGGATCTTGAGTGATACCCCTCAAAATTAGATGCCTTTTGGGACTTCCTTCCCCAAATGTCCATCGTCCCTCTTCCCTATCTTATTGTGGAAGATGTTATTCTTATCACCTGGAGACCTTTGCAATAAGAATATATTCTCTGCAGGGGTGGTTTTCACTTCACTACCAGTTCGCAAATGTGTGTGCGTGCATCCACACGTGTGCCCAGCCTTCCNATTGGGCTTATTATCCGGGGAGGTCTTATTTTTGAGGAAACAGGATAGAGCTGTGATGGCAAACCTATGGCACGTGTGCCCAAAGTGGCACATGAAGCCATGTCACCTGGCACATGTGGCCTTGCCTGTTTGCTTTCTGGGTTTCCGGTGCACATGCATGCACGATGATCAGCTGCCCTTCATATATGTGGCAGTGCTGAAAACCAGTGTGTGCATGCATGCCAGCCAGCTGACTGTCACTTGCGCATACACGCCAGAACCAGGAAGTTCAGCTTTTCCGGAGCATGATCCCTTCATGCGCTGGGCAGTGCCAAAAACTGGCGTGCGCATGCATGCTGGGCAGCTGATCATCAGATGTGCTTGCATGCTAGAACCTGGAAGCTTATCTTTTCCGGTGTGTGGCCACGACATGCGCATGCATGCATCCATGCATGCACGATGTTTCTGCGCAACCTTTTTGTCACTCGATGCCAAAATGGTTCGTCCTCACTGTTAAGAGGGTCGTTCCTGGCTGATGAACATCATCTTCTCAGGAGCTGCATCCACCTTTAAATACGTTAGGAAATAAACCTTAAGACGTCAGATTAAAATTCCATATAAAGGAGAAGCAAGGATCATCCCAGAGGGCTTCCAGATCAACCAGACCACCTGGTTGATCACCTGGAACCCCAACTTTGAAGGGAGCTTCCTTGCCTGTCTTCCTGAGGAGGAATCCACCAACAGATCTTGCAGTGGGGTCCATGAGAGTTGGGATCTACCACAAGACCTCCATACCAGACCTTGCTGGACAGGAAGATGCTACCATAGTAGGATGGCCATGCAAGTACCCAGGTCCTGAGCCACAAAGGGCTTTAGAATGGACAACCAACTCCCTGCTGTGCCTGGGAAATAACTGGCCGCTCCCTTAACCCGGAGTGGTCAAGCCTCATTTACAGCCAATCTTGCCTAAAGTTTTGGGAGAGGTTTGGAGTTTGTACCGTCCAGAGATTAAAGGAAGTGTGGGATTTGCCGGTGAGATTTTGCTTCTTTATCCTCCTTAATGGCGTGTTTCCTGGCCTGGTCTTCTTAGAAGGTTCTGACATAGATGGATACTCTCCATTCTTTTATCTTGCCTTCCACCATCTTCCTTGCAATATGACTACCAATCCAAGGTAAATAGTAATTTTAATTCCATCCACTTTATTGGAAAGCTTCCTCCCATCTGCTTCCGGAAGCCATTTATTTTCATGAAAATAGAAAACCGTTTCCTGGCCTTTCACAACATTTTCCTCTTATCGCCACATCCTCAGTGCGCAAAGATTGTGCATTGCCCCTATGCACAGGTAACACCTATGGGGAGAACCCCCATCTTCCTTTAAAAAATCAGCTGCGGTGATCGTTTTTGGGGTAGCCGATCTTAGCTAACTAAGCATTATGACTTCGACTTCCTAGTGAGGATTGCAATTGTATCCCCAGTTAGGATCGAGTAGTTTTGACTGGGAGACAACATGTTGAGTACGATAACCCAAATGAGACGGAAGCAACCTTGTGTGCTGGCAAGAGAAAATACACTTGGATTTCTACCCAATCAATTAGTAGAACGCTTGTATTAAGTTGTGGAGGGCTTTTAATAACATACCAAGAAGGTTTGCGGTATGTGAGACATTTTGCCCAAAGCTGCAATTAACGCTTCTCCATTAAATTTTCAGAAAATGAGATTTCAGCTCTTCCTTCCTTCCTTCTTTGCATTTTCTCCTTTAATTAATATGGGAAAGTTTCATCTCCCCTTCGCCAACCAGCAAAAACGGGAATCTGCCTAAAATGCAGGCAGTCTTATCATTTCCAGTTATGGAGATTCCGTTGATTAAGAGAAATAAATAAATCAAGCAAAAAGATAGGCAACTGGATGGAGTTGAGTATTTACTGGCCGGATTCCCTTCCTGACACGTATGGGGAGTTCACAGCAGTTATTTTTGTCTTTGTGCCCTAAGGAAACCTGCTGCTAACTAGGACTGAACTCTCAACCTTCTGGGTGGGAGGTGAGTGCCTTCACCTCTAGGCCACCATGCCAGTAAATTCTCAGCTCCATCCAGTCACCCTAACTCTGCCCTGAATTAAGGGATTACAGGGTCATAAAAAGGGCGTTTTTAAGCAGAAAGATAGGCCTGGTAAGGCTTTTCTGAAGAAAGTCATCATCTGTTTTGTTTCTAACCTGAAGAGTCCTAAATTATTCCATTTCTTCACTTGCAAGTCCAGAAACTTGCAAGAACAACAGATAAGACCTATTACAGAGAGCCCACTTGCAGCATAGGAAGTATATTCATTAGAAGCAGTGCTTCTTTGGAGATAATAGAGAGCAAATCCTGGTTGTCATTTTAGCAGATATTGGGGTTGTTGTTTTTTAATGTTGGCCAATATTCCTGTGCTTATAATAGCTGGTTGGAGAAGACATCACAGGAACTTGTGAACTGAACATCTACAGTCTTCAACTGAAGCACAAACTAAACCTGTATTTGGAACCAGGTGTTCTGACTGAGGCTTCCCAAGAGCATGAAGCAAATTCCATGTCCCGGCAGAAAACCCCCTTGTATTAATTTACAGTGAATTCTGCTCATTCACAGCCAGCAAAGTCTTTCAAAGGAGGATTTACGGTCACAGGCCTTATCTGGCTCACAGAGCTAGCAAACCCATTGTCTCCTGCAAGCTCCACTCCCCTTTCACTCCTCTCTTATTTCCTCAGGGAGGGACCATTCATCGTCTGGCCTTACTCCCAAGTCAACCCCTGTTCTTTAGCTGTTCCCTTCATCTGGCAACTCTGCATGCGCACACTGGGAATAGGCTCCGGCTGTTTGTCTGCCTCACTGATGTCTGACTCTGAAGGCAGCTGATAGCTGGCATACGGCTCTGGCCCCCTCTCTGCCTCCAACACAGAGCCTTCATCAGAGCCTTTCCCAGACTCCAGGATTGGCCAACCTCCTCAGTCTCCAAATCTGCTGCCAGCTGGCGGGCCACGGTGGCGCAGTGGTTAATGCAGCACTGCAGGCTACTGCTAGATCAGCAGTTCAGCGGTTCAAATCTCACCGGCTCAGGGTTGACTCAGCCTTCCATCCTTCCGAGGTGGGTA